TCCGCGGCGCGCGGCGGAAAAGGGCGGCGCGCGGGGGCTGCCGGGACTTGGAGTCCTTCACCCAAAACAAAGCAAAGCGACACCCCCGGTGTCTGCCCGGGGCTCTGCACCCCAAAAATCCCCGGGCTTTGCCCCCAATAACGGCTTTGCACGCCCATATCCTGCATGGAAATGCACGGGGCTTCGCACCCCTCCCTTGTACAAGGAAATGCATGGGGCTTTGCCCCCCAAAAGGGACTTTGCACCCCCATATCACGCAAGGAAGTGCATGGGTCTTCACACCCAAAAAGGGCTTTGCACTCCCGTAACCTGCAAGGAAATGTCCGGGGCTCTGCCCCCAAAAGACACTTTGCACCCCTACATTGTGCAAGGAAATGCACTGAGCTTTGTACCCCCACTTCCTGCAAGGAAACACATGGGGCGCTGCTCATAAAAAGGGATTTTGTACTTCCATATTGCAAGAAAATGCACAGGGCTTTGCCCCCAAAAAGGACTTTGCATGCCCCTATCCTGCAAGGAAATTCATGGGGCTCTGGCCCCAAAAGGGGTCTTGGACCCTCACATCTTGTAAGGAAATGCACAGGGCTTTGCACCCAAAAAGGGCTTCCCCCCAAAAAAAGAAACCCAAAACAAAACAAAACAAAGTCTTTCCACCCTCATAACCTGCAAGGAAATGCACCACGCTCTGCTCCCCAAAAATGGCCTTGCACCCAAAAAGGGATTTTGCATCCCCTCCCCCCATCCTGCAAGAAAGTGCACCAGGTTCTGCACCCAAAAACCGGCTTAGCATCCCCATGTTGCAAGGAAATGCACCAAGCTTTGCACCCAAAAAGGGGCTTTGCACCCCCGCATTTTGCAAGGAAACGCACCACATTCTGCCCCAAAAAGGGCTCTGCACCCCCTTTTCTTGCAAGGTAAAGCTCAGGGCTTTTTATCCAAAAAAGACTTTGCACCAAAAAACCCCAGGGCTTTGCACTGAAGAAAAAAAGGGGGGGGGTGGGAATTGCACCTTCATATCCTGCAAGGAAACACACAGGGCTTTGCACCCCAAAACCTTTCAGGGAAACGCACTGGGCTGCCCCAGAAAGGGCTTTGGACCCAGAAAGAGCCAGTGCCTAGGGAAGGGGTGCTCCTGCTCCTGCCCCACTCAGCTGTGGCCAAACCCAGCCTCACACAGAGGGGTTGGTGTCACTCCCAGGGAGATGAAGCCACTTGAGGTAGAACCTGTGCTACCTCCCAGCACCACAGGCAAAGTGGATTTTGTTCATTAAAACACAAAAACCTCAGGCAGGGATGCAACGGATGCAGAAATGTCAGCGTTTTGGCTTCTCGAGGGGTACGCAAGGCTCCCTGGCTGCAGGACACAGAAATGTATAAAAACAACCCCACCAAAACCCAGTCATTTTTGGGGTAAGCCTTCCCAGAGCTGCACGCAACTTTGGATGCCACCTCAACCTTCATTTTGCTGCCCCATTGGCAGCATCCCAGTCACCACAGAATAAAAAGACAAAACCCCCCTATAAATTGACAAAAAATAAAGCTATTAAACAGCAAAACAGAAAGCGCTGCGTTTCCCTCCACCCTCCTAAGACTGCAAAGATCACAAGTTTGAGAAATCTGGAGCTAAAACCCTCTTGTTTTTATGGGACAGATTCACCCTTTTTGTTGGTTAGGTGAAAGATTCTCCCTTTTTTAATCAGTCTCACCTACTTTAGGACTTGGAATAAAAATAAGCATTGCCACAGGGTGGGGACAAGACACCGGCGTTTGTCATCTGTCTGCACCTTCTGAGCTCCAGGTCCTCGTGCTGCTCCTCACCCCTCTCCAAGGGATTTCTTCCAATGCTCCCCTTCCCCACCTGTGTTTTTGCTAATCACCACAGCATTAGTTGCTTGCCAGTCTCTTCCTTCACACAAATTTGCTTTAAAAATATTTTACTTAAATTCTGTTTGTCTCTTCTGTGGGGCCACTTTGAAACCCTCAGAGGTGACTCCAGCTGCTCAATACCAGAGAGGTTTGGGATATGATCAAGGCAGTTCAGTATTATTAATAAAGTAACAACTCTTATTTGTTCTTTACAGTATTTATTTTACATGCAAACCTGTGGAAAAAACACCAAACTCCTTGCTGGAACCTTCTCTCCCTACGTCAGATATAAATTATTTCCAGGTAAAGCATGTTTGTGTGGTGCACGTCCAGTTTGGGAGCACAATTACGCAGCCGCCGCCTTCTCTTTGTACGTTGCCATCATCTTCTTGATCTCGGCGATCGCTTTGCCGGGGTTCAAACCCTAAAAAAAGAGGAAAAGTTTCGGTTAATTCACCTGTACCTGGAGGCTGAACCAGCAGCGGTTCCCACCGCTCGAAGGAAAAAGCTCGTCTGGCTTTGAAGGTTTTAATTGGCAATGCGAGGATCAAAGAGAGGAATGAGCGGCTGAACGATAGAAACTTTTAATAAAGCTCAAGCAGGACTAAAGTGAACACTTTTAGAGGTATTAGGAGATTTCTGGAGGCAGGAAACTGCTCTGTAAAAGCTGGACAGTGATGGTACAAGAGATGTGGGGTTTTTGCCCTTGTGTGAAACAAAAGCAGCTGTGTACTGGGGGACATGAGGGAAGCGAGCAAGAAAAGAGTCACAAGATGAAACTGCTCCTCACACAAAAACCAGCCAAGCTTCCCACAGGGTTTTCTACAACACAGACACCTCCCGTTGCAATGGCCCCTAATCCTGCAGCGCTGCAACCAACCCGAGCGTGCCTAATCCCAAAAGGAGAGCAGGGGATCACAACTGCACCCGTGTCAGACAGAGCGACCAGGAAGTCACCCCGGTGCAGAGCTCACCCAGACAGCAGCCAGGATTTGAGCACGTGAGGGGACACGTGTTATTAACCATGAAAACCCTGTATCAAACTTGTTATTAACCATAAACCCATATCAAACTCATTATTAACCGCAAACACATCTCAAACTTGAGAGTCCAAGCCTCAGTGTGTTATTTCCCTGCATTACATGGGTCAGATCTTCAAGGTGAACCTTCACCTTCACCCGAACTGCAGCTGACACCCGATCATGAGCTCGCTCCCTATACAAAGGGGGAATTATCTGCAGGCAGTGAAGCACTTCTGAAAAGTACACACAAAAATCAGCACGCAGTGCTCCTGTCAACCCAGATCTCCAAGATCTCCTTTCCCCCACACCTGTGGTCCACTCAAATATTTGCCTTCGGATTATTTCACAGCTCAGGAAGAATTATTCCTCCCCCAGGTGCAAGTAAAGGCTGGCTACAAAACAGCCCAGTTGGCAGGAAAGCAAAGCTTGGTTTTCTGCCCAACAACAGGCACGAGGTCACGGCAAGAGGAGGAAGAGGCACATTCTGATTTGGGAAAGCTTGCTCAGTTCTCAAAAGAAATGCCAGAGAGAACAGATCAGCTGGGAAATGCCCCGACAGCAGGATGTCAGCATCAAACACGTTCCCCAAAGGCGCTGAAAGCTTGCTGTGGTCTTCTCTGTTACACAAGTTGCACAATACGCGCGGCCATCGAGTTTAAGGTGGCACCGCATGGAGGTTAAGGGTATTTCTCACAAGGCTACACATGACAAACCTCCTCGTACCACTTCTGGCAGTGTCCCACACACCACCAGTGCCCTAAATCCTGGACACACACAGGTTCTCAACATTGCAGCCCTGCTCACGAGGAAGAGACGTTCCCGAGGCGTAACACAAACCTTGCCACGTCCTCTCGTACAGTCACTATCGCGAGCAAGGCTGCTGTGCTTCAAAAGCTGAACATGCCAAGGCAAGCTTGAGGAAAACACAAACCTAAGCGCGTATTTTCCTCTTGGTTTGAAACAAGGAGCTTGGAAACAACCCAGAGGGACACAGGCGGGATGTGCACGTACCTTAGGGCAAGTCCTTGTGCAATTCATGATGGTGTGACAGCGGTAGAGAGAAAACGGGTCCTGAAGCTGCGCCAGGCGTTCCTCTGTGTAGTCATCCCTGGAGTCGATCATCCAGCGATAGGCCTGCAAGTCACAAGCACTTCACACACCAAATGCTTGAGGTAGCGTAATCAGGGGAGATTTCAAAAGCAACACCTAACTCGGGGATTTTGATCCAGGATCTGGACCACGTGATGCTATCCCACCTGTGCTCACAAATATCCGTTCTGGTTTTAGATGGGGACTAACGGGATCCGTCCTTACCTGCATCAGTACCGCAGGACCCAGGTACTTGTCCCCGTTCCACCAGTAACTGGGGCAGCTGGTGCTGCAGCAGGCACACAGGATGCACTCGTAGAGTCCGTCCTGCATGGGGATGCGAGACCACAGTCAAGCCATATCAGAAACCCATCACAAAGCCTTTATTTAAAGAGGGGATTTACATGAGCATGTGATTCCCTCACCACCGTCCCCTCTAGTGATTTGCCACAACAGAGTGGCTCTGAAAACTTTGTGCTGAAGAAAGCAATTCCTACATGCAGGTCCTCTGAAACAAGATGCATGCAATCCTCCCAGCTTGACCCATGTAACAAACTAGGGGGAGAAAAAAAAGCATAAACTGAAGAAAATGTGAAAATTGCTCGATCTTCCTGCATTCCTTCCTTCCAGCCTGTCCCTGTGAGTGGCTGAGGAAAGGAACAGATATGTAACCAATTAACAGCTCAAGGCCACATTACAGAAGAGAAGAAAGAGCAGAGTCTGCCCAACAGCCTGAGGGAGAAGAGCTCGTGGTTTAGCCTACGCTTTGAGGGGATCCACAAGCACTTACAGAACCAGCAAGTGCCAGTCTTTAGCTATTTCACCAGCTTTATTAAGGTGGAGGTCTCTTTTGGTTTGTTTTTTTCCTTCCAGGCCCTAAAGAAAAGGAAGACAGATCTGGACAGAAGACAAACTCAGAGGAGCAGAGGGTCTCCCAGACCTTCTAGGAGCTCGATAAACCCCACAAGGCTAAGAGACAGAGTCCAGTCTGGCTTAATTTATGTATCTCAAACTTGTTTTGGTACAAAGGTCTCCTGAAATTTAGTTTAGACAGATACCTGATGACAGAACTCCTGGGAGCTTGTAACAAGTCTGCTGCATTAGTCTTTTGGTAAGGCTTGCCAAAGCTAGATAGGGCAGTTACCATTTCACTCTATATTTGTCCTATTTCTGTCACTCATCAAATGATTGATGCTCTAAGGAAAGAGGTGGGAGTTTTTCAGCTGATGCTGTATCCAAGTTTCTCCTGCACACAGGCCATTCCCATAACAAAAGAAACTTCAGCAAGGAGACAAAAAGCAAGTTTAAGAGTTGTGAGAAAGATTCAGGCAGCTCTTGCAGCCGCTTTGAGGTTTGCTTATTTCTACTTGAAAGCAAAAGAGATCTCAAGGATGCCGCTTTATGAAAACCAAGGGAAGGGAGAGTCCCTTTAGTCCTTCCGTATGGATCAGATAACACTATGAAGCGGTGCAGGAGCACTAACTGTTGCCCTTGGATAGAGATTCCTTAGGCTGTAAGATCCTGCCGTTGTTAAGATGTCACAGCGCCAGTCGCACGGTGCTGCCGACACCCTGGGTACATTACCAGTCTGCTCATCAGATGCCAACTTCACAGCAAGCACCTTTAATGGAAAACATCACTGCAGAGAATTAAGCTGCAGCTGATATTTTTATTGAATCCTCTTTGCTGTTCATATTCACCTCTTTTACCACTTGCCAAAACCTAGCCTGCCGCTCATCTTGTGCCTACTCAGTGACAGCACCGCAGCCCTGATTCACAGCAGAGCACTGACGGGCTGAGCTTTGGATCCATCGCTCGCTTCATGGTTCCTCGAGACAGGTTAGAGGCAAAAGAGAAACGGCTGATTTAATATTTACTGCAGCAGCCAAGGAAATCCAGACAAGCACTTACCCACACTATAAACTTTTAAAAAAGCTGTTCTCTCCCAGCTGTTCAAATGGTTCCTCAAACACCCTTCAGCTTCACACAAACTCTGGATCAGTTAACACTACATCCCCAGAAAATCCCCTTGAAATAACGCAATGCTCAGGACACACAACCACAGACTTGTGCTAGCACATCACAGTTGCGTTTCCACATCCAAAAGGGTTCAATGGCTTTTGCCATTAATTTTTTGGGCCGTAAAACCCAGCAAGCAGAAACACAAGAGCATTTCTTAGCATGCTGCAGCGAGATAAAGACAGCGCTGAGCCCAACAGCCTACGTGCCAGCACGAACTGCAGCACTTTATCTCCACTGGGATATTAGAAGCCTGTAACCTTCAGTGTTTTTAGAAACACACAGGGTTTCACAACGCAGACAGTGGAAATGAGATCAGAGTCCCTGTCGCAACCACGAATTCATTTTGGTAGCAAATGTTACCCCTAGCAATGCAGACATGCCATGACGCTGCAATTCAGGGAGCAGATTCCACCCACGCCAGGTTTTGCACCAGACAGCTTTGGCATTAAAGGAACCAGAAGCTACCGCACGTTAACGTTTAACCCTCGTCTTATCTGGAAGGGATTTCAATGGTAGAAAAGGAGGAGTAACCAGTTTCTGACGGTCTTCTATGGACTGCAGGTACTGCTCCTTGCCCTGTTTTGACTCATCCTTCTTCTTCAGGTAAGGCTCGATGGATTTGTACTGTGCGTAGAAGTTACTCAAGTCCTAGGGGTCAAAAGGCAAAAAGGTCACGTTTATTAAGCCAAACTGATTCATGAGATCGAGCATTTGCTACCACTCCAACTGAAGGCAGCATTTTGTACCTCAACCTGCCACATTCCTTCAAATGAGGACACATTTAGTCACTGCTGCAAAGCTCAGACCCACCCAGGCCAGAAAATACCAACAGGAATAATGTGAATTGTGAGACCTGATCTGTTGGCACCTCTCAACATTGTCCCCTGACAACCCAATCTGAACCCCAGACTTCCTGGAACGGTGTCACCCTCAGTGGCAAGTGGACAGAGGCAGATACTCACTGGAACAAGGTCCTTCACCACGTACATGTGAGGGAGAGGGTAGATTTTAGTGGTCTTGTTGAGATCGGGGTCAATTCTTTTGATACAGGCCAGCGTGTTTCCACCAGCGATATTCATAGCACAAGAACCGCAGATGCCTGAGGAAGAGGAGAAGAAGAAAGCATCAGATATTTTCCCTCTTATCCTACTTGAGAAAAATCCTCTTGGCCTCAAACACACCCTCGGGCCGTCTTCAAGAAACGCTGTACGTGACAAGAAAAACGCCAGGAGTTGCCATTGGGCCAAACACGCTGCTATTTAAATACAGAACAAACGCAGGAGTTGCTTTCATCAAAGCCTCAATGCATTCTCAGCGCCGAGCTTCCTTCCGCAGCAGAAAACAAGCGGCTTGGACACTTCATCACTTTCACACCATTCATTAGTTTTACAGACCGCTTAGGGTGGGGAAAACACGCAGCTTTGTTCCCAGGTTTGAAGCACCAGCTCGGATTGATGCAACGCAGCTGATGCTAACATTAAAACATGGGAACCAGGCGCATCCCCCATCAGTTACAGTCAAAAGCATCTCTGAAGGTCAGGAACATAAAATATGTCGTTATAATAATGAAGTTTCTCTCGGTGCCTTCTGCAGCTGGGTCGAGTGGTGCTATAAACTGCACTCATTAACTCCCAAAGGTGAGAGAACAGACACTCACCAGAACAAACAGCATATAAATAGCTTAACAAATGGCTTAAATGACACCACTAATGATCTCCCAGTAATAAAAGGATCAGATGAAGCTCAGGAAAGGCCAAGGTTTACAAGTAAAACCACCGCAGAACTGTCACAGATACTGCTCAGGTCAGGAGCTCGGGTGTCCAATTCAGAGCGATGCCCGAAACATCACATTAGAAAGAAGACAAATGTTGAAAGGGCAAAGTCTCATTTCAGAGGATTTGACACACATCAATTGATACGAGTCAGGGAAATGCCACTGCTCCTCGTGCTGCCAGAGCCAGACACCCTCAGCGCCTGATACGCTGGTGATCCTTCCCCTTGCTGCCAGATAAAGGCTGGCACTCGAACAAGGTTATTCCTCCCACTCGAGAAATGGCTACAAGCATTTTCCAGTCAACTGGAGAGAGGACCAGGACCGCAGACGCAGATCCATAAGTATGCAGCAGGAACGCGTGATTGGATTTTTTTCCCCCCACATGGCAGAAAAGGGGCAAGACTGAACCAGCCCAGCTTGAAAATCTGTCTTCAGGCTCTCAAAGGAAAGTATTCAGGGCAATTAATTCCAGCTGCTTGGGAAGAGAGTTGGCTATCTAAATACCAGACACTAAAACAACCGCTCGGTATGAAATTCCTCTGCCTGTTACGCAGATTCTACGGAAAAGGCTGCGTTAAAGCGCACTTTTCATTTAGGTCCAAGTCAAAACATCTTTAGGCATCAATTGCACCTGAATTTCCCATGCTTGCAAACCCACCTAATTAAATCAAAAGTCATCCCATAAAGGTATTCCCTGCATTTCCACAACTCTCATTTGAAGCTCAGCATCCCAACATTATCCCTGAATTAGGATTTTTTCCAGGGAAAGTCACCTGGACCGGTGAATTTTAATGCAGTTACACACGCTGGTTTGTACCTGCCCGAGAACCAGCCAGCAGCTCTGCGATGTAAAACCACCAGATGGCCTTTTCCTCAATCAGTCATCTAGCTCAGTCCAAAGGCCAAAAAAACATTCCTGAAGCTATTCCTAGAAGTCCTAAGTACTCTTCCAGTTACACCCTTTCTTATTTCCACAGCAGCACCTGATGAAGCAGCCCCTACAACTCATTCCCGTGTCCGCCTGCCCCCTCAATTTCGCTGTCGTAATCCCTCTCGCTACATTTCCCTGCGCAGGCCGTCACTGGAGGGCAGCAAGATGAGCAAGATTAGGACCGAAACAGGAACGACGGGGGCTGTTTAGGCAGACTGCTCATAGCTCAGTGTCAGGTGATTACACCCTGCGAATACAAGCTCTAACTGTACTGCTTAAGTCACTGGGGTATTTCATATGCAGCAGCTGGAAGAGGAGAGCGGTGCGCTGCCATCTGCTCTGAAGTTTCCTGGTGGTTACACGTACGCTGTCAGCAATAAACACTCTTCAAGGGCAGTTTTTGGTTTCTCAGGCTGGAAAATCCCTCTTACCTTCCCCACA